AGACTTCGGAAACATCATTTTGGATCTTACATAAAAAGATTAGGATGATAAGTGTGTGCTGTTATCACTGCCTGGAAGTTTACTCGGGTTAAATAAGAGGCAGTACAGTTTTCGCAGCTGGTAGCAGTCACGGAAAGTTCATAGTGCAACAAAGGAATGAACGAGGGGCGGATGTGGTTGAACATAGGAAGTGCGTAGTGTGGCAAGGACACTTGATGAACTACCGTACAGGAAATAAACTGTGCAAATGAAGCGCATGTCATAAATTTAGGAGAATATCTAGACAAATTTAGACATAAATGGCAGATGTGAAAAGTGTTTTCGATAATAATATTCAGTTTTAATTAAATATAAAATAATAGTGTATACTTAAAAGAGACAGCACACACACACACACACACACACACACACACAACACAGGTGTTAAACGGATTTTGTGCAAACGAACTCAACTCAAATAAACTGGTCCTAAAAACGTTATGTGTTCCAAATTTTATCAGTCGGTGTATAATCTTATTCGACATTTCCTTGTCGATTTCAACGCGAAGTAATCTTCGAGAATGAACACAGCTTCTGCGCAACTGGCATTAGCAACGACCTAGCAACAAGATCGACCTTGAATCGAGTGTCATGGCGGAGGCTGGGAGAGAACGTTTATTACATGGGGGTGTTACCTTCTGGTTCGTGTTCTACCGTAGTTTATGATTGTTTTGGGTAGCGTTTCAAATGATGCACTCTGCACAAGCCTTTTGTTTTTCTCCAACCAAAGACCTCACCAAATAAGGGAAGTGGAAGACGTAGAACCATTATAAGAAACGAGCATACACGTGGTATGTTGTGTGTGCCCCACAGGTAAAGTGAACTCCCTGTTCGGCGTCTGCGAGGCACTGATGCCGCTGGTGTATGGACCCATGTACAGTGCAGTTTATGCTGCTACTATGCACACAGAACCAGGAGCCTTCTTCCTACTGGGAGGCGGACTCACTGCCCCTGCTGTCATCATTTTCATGTAAGTTATTATAAAGCCAGAAATAGAAGGGAAACTGGAAGACCAGACAAGAGATGGTCCGTCTAGTTTTGAGTCTCGGAACGTGCCAAAGTGGCCTTATCCTTACAAAGCAGGCAAATGGGGTCACAGTAAAGGGCAAATTGAGTCAGTAAATAAAATGTGTTATTTACAGAACAGATTTTTATGAAGTTTAGTTTCTGTTTGTTGTGCACTGTGTATCGTCGCCATCTTAGATGAAGATTAAATAAGATGCGTTCTTCCGAAACACTACAAAACATTCAGCGTCAGAACCCACAAGATCATAATTCACATTTTCACTGCCTAAAAATACCAAATTTCATACTTTTAATTTTGCCACAGCGGTTTTCGGCAATCAATAATCTGTGACATTCTGTTTATAAATTTGTAACTTCGTATTACCGTACAGAATTTAAAAAGTGTGACATCTGATGGGATAAAATGTCTGCCACCAATAATCTGGCCTGTAAAGCCGATCAAAAAAAAAACCAAGGATTAATTTCTAGCAGGTTGAACACACGATTATTTATCGGCGAGGGAATTCCGAGGTGTGTAGGATAGTACAGACTCAAACCCTTTTCAGTCTTCAGTTTTCGCTGATGCTCTTACAGTTTGACTTTCTGTGCTTACAGCTGGATGTATTACGAACACAGAAAGGAATCGGCAGACAAAGAGCTGGAAGCTGTTAATATGGAGGCGGCGAACGAAGACTCAAAGAACAAGACACAGGCAGATTACAGCAGCACAGAGAAGCATCAGAACGGGACATCGAAATTCGAAAGCGAAATAAACGGAGAAAGTCACCTTGAAGGAGTTGATAATAGGGCTTACGTAGTCGATGAAAAAGACTGAAATAACAAGCGATGATAATAAAATGTTCCTTTAATTATAAGATTTATGGTTGAGGTTAGGTTAGGTTTTACTTTATTCTCGAACTTCAGGTTAAAGCACCTTCGGTGAGAATGGATGATAGAACTGTCATATTAATATTAGAACTTACGAAGCATTTAAAGCAGTGACAAAACAGGAGGAAGAACACAGCTGCTCTCTCTCTCACTCCATTAAAGTATTTGTTAATGGACTGTGGGATTCAGGTAAAATATTTTAAATAACAGTATCATCATTCCATCATTGCTCCATAATTATTTGTCATCGCCCCACGGGATGAGAGATAGCCCTGACTAAGCAGCACATAGTCAGTCTCAAATTAGGGGCTTTATCTTTAACCTGACACTCAGTTGGTCTCGGAATAAAGATAGTTTAGTTTTATTATAAAAATGTATTTACGAATAAAATTAGGGAAGCCGAAGAGATGAAACATCTAAAACAGACTACTTCATTGTTTTATTCCACTATGAACTGATACGAATTTGAGTGTTTGGAAACATGACAACTGGCTGTTTTTTACGTCTGTAATTGGAGGCGAGGTAAATTACAAGGAATTTACAATTACTGTGTTACTGTCTCAATTAAAAGTCTTTCTGTTTTGAACTATATTAAACTTAGGGCACAATTTGGTTTCCAGTGAAATAAATTAATGTTCTTTCAATAAAAAATAAATAAAGAATGTAGCTAAAATTTTGAACACTGAACGAACACATTCAAAGTTGTAACTACAATAGTACTATAGAATTAGTTACTTAATACAAAACGTTTTCATATATTACAATTATAAGCCAGAATGTGCACATATTTAGGTCTATAGACCTAACTGAAAGTTCCCACGTCAACATGCATAAATTTAGGTTAAGTTTGGAAAACTGAAATATATATTACACAGAGTATTCTGGTATTATATTCTTCAGATAAAAACATTTTGTGTTTTAAACACTAAGTTCGGTCTCGTAGACCAGAGGTCGCATAGAAATTGTGTATTACAAACAACTGTTGCACGTTCGTTATTTTAATAAAACGCATGAAAATAGGTTTACTACTAAGTTAAGTAAAATACACGATGATCAGAAAGTGACGCAATCCACTCTTGACAGATGTTCTATTTATTTAAAAAATTACAATAAATAAAAAAAAAAAAAAAGCGAAGTGTTGGAGTGTTGTTCATCGATGCAAGCATTAATATCGAAAATCGACCGGAACGGTTTCCGTGACGAGAAAGGATCAGCAGACGAGATACTGTCCAGTTTTTTGGAACAGGAGAACCGGTAAATGTATCTTTAAATTCATTCTGGCAAGTTCTGCATGGATTCGACAATTAACAATTATTGCATCTGTGAAAAAGACATCCTTACACTTCGACTGTTGAAAGATAACTGACGGACTGGAGAGAGCAGGTTTTAACATGACGTGACTTTTATAAGTCACAGAGATATTGTGTGTTTATTAATCCACTCTAATTGTATTTAATTACAACCTTTAATAAGTATTTAAATATGAGCTGCGTGACGTTTCGATCATCCTGTACTTCATTCAAAAAAATAGTTAAATATTAACAGTAATGTTCCTTTAAATTGCTTTATAATTAAACTTTCTGAGCAATTTTTAGTTTTGACCTTGTAGTTACTTGCATAATGCAATAGCCTTTTCTCTGTAACGGATATTACATAAACCATGTGACTGGACAAATCTCAATAGATTAATCTTCAAGGAATAAAATAAATAAACAACAATTTTACATAATCTGTGGTGTTCTTTACTACTCGAAGTAGAGTTAATGACTTAGAGAAAATATTATGTGTCTGTCCTTCCTTGATGGTGAGACCATGGTGTTCAGGGATGGGGAAGGAAATGCCCACGAAAACTGTTGCACTCATAACATTACAAAGCAGAAGCAGCCTTTACTTCGTCAACGGAATTATTTCTGCTTGTGTGTACGTATAAGGATACTTAAACAATAATGAACAATGTATAATAGCACAATAAACTTTTTAATGATATTGCCAATTCAAACGGACTTTAAGAAATTGTTGTAATACAATTAGATCTCTAAGAAATGAGAGTATGTCTGTGTTTGACCTCTGCGATAGCGCGTATATGATTAATTTCGTATCATATGGCTGTTTTGTTCGGAGCAGGGCATGTAGCACACATGAACAACATTTTGGTTGGAAAGTATGAAAGAAAGAAATCACTCGAAAGATCTAGTGGTAGATGTGAGGAAAATATTAAGATGAACCGTAAGAAAATAACGCTGGGAGTGTACTGGATTCATCCCCCTCATTGGAACGGTGGTGAACCCTTATCAACAAGGCAGGTAGTTTCGTGACTCGGTGATCAACTAACAGCTTCTCAAGAAAATCTCTGTTCCGTGGTGACAGTTCGTAATGTAGCATCACTTCCGATGAGTTACGCAATTGAACAGAATCGAGAACATTCCTTACTGGTGGTCGTACGTACGTCTCCAGTAGATAGCAGCAGGTTACCCATGACTGCTACTACCGACATCTACCGGAAATAATCCTAACTTACACAGAATAGAAATCACTGAGCTGCTGAAGGTGGAATAAGATAGTAAGAAACTCTGGTCATAGATGTCCTAAGTGAGGACCACAAATATTCAAATTTTCGAGTTTTCTCTTTCTTATGTTATGGAACAGAATCGCAATGGAAAATTTTCCCCATGTTTCGAGGAGCATACAATCTCAATCTTTAGAACAAAAGGAAAATCCAGACACTGTAAGGATCACCGTGAAATCTTATACCATCTTCTCGAAGTTCTTGATTTATTACTACGACTTATTTTTGCTAGAGCTATCTGACTGGAAATAAAACCGAATATTCAACATCACTAGTACAAAGACTCGGCACTGGACATTGTCCTGAGCAAGGAGTTTCAGAGTTAAAATCCTATATTCTGACATCCCTACATGCGCAGCCAATCACATCCTTAAATCCAGATATATTTATCAGACCAAGCAACAAATTTCGGTTACCATCACACATAAGATCATCGCGTTTTGAAAGCTGAACAATTGGAAACATTTAAATTCAAATCTCAGTTCTATAAACCTGATTTTCATTATTGTCTGCATTCCTTATCCCTTCATTCTTTATTGTGTGTAAGAGAGGGCAGAGATTAGTTTGAGGAGATTACTCTAATTCACGCCTTTACTTTGAGCATAATGATCTGCCGGTCTCGTGATTGAAATGCTGCTATGGGCAGTGCTTCAGTAGAACAGTTATGCTTATCATAACTTGCGTGCGATAGCATCTCGATAAAACAAAACCACGTCGGAGCAAAAACCACATAACTGCTTCAATCTACGATTTTTGGGATGACTTAGCATTTTGTCACTTACTTATACAGTTGGGTGGTGGCCCTGTTAAACCAATACTTCATTTCTTCACTGCATGAACGATCTAAGTTATTGATTCTATGTTTGTGAAGTTTAACGTTCCACACATCTGTGCCCAATGACAGACTGTGCTAATAAGGATTTGTTTGACTGACTCGCAACTTACAAATTCTGTAATATTTACAGTTGAAAATCAAGCTAATTCAGCATTGAAATATCTGGTTTACATTCGAAAAGGACAAAGCCCCGTCCGCCTAATCCAACTTGATTTGATCGTAAAACCGAAAATGGGATGTAAAATTTTAGCTGTGATCCTTTCCTGGTTTTACGTCTTAATTATCTGATAATAACAATGCAGAAATTTGAAATATCTGCCAAAATATTTTGTTGCAATAAAAAGTAATTTTGTGGGCCCAAGTAGCTTCCTTGCACATGTGTCACACCTAAGAATGGATGAAGGATGCCACGAGTAGGAAATATAAAATATGTAAAATAATAATGTATCAACTATATAATAGCGATAGTTTTATCTGACGATTATTAAAATTAACTCGTATAAAAACGCAATTAACCAGCACATTTATAATATTTAAAAATTGAATCTCATTGGTACTAATGTGCTTTAAAACACTACATAAAATAACAGAGCAGAATTAAAATATTATGTAATATGTCTCACAAACATCTGTGTTACGAATAAGATTCAAGCATCAATCAAAGAAATGATACAAGGAAAATAATAAAAGCAGACCGATTATTTCAGCAACAAATTTGAATTATTGTCTTTGTGAAACTCATTAGGAAGGGTACGATGATCTCTAAGTGGACAGGTTGATGCTTGGGTTAAAAAGAATAGTATGAACCAAATAACTTTTTCTCTGTTCTGTTCTATAGATTGTAAGATGGCGGTTCAGAGTAATGAAGCTGAGCGCTCTTTAGTGCAGCAAACCAACCATGGCGAACTGAACAGCTCTTCACTAGTTATCTAGCCACACCTGTGATTCATGGTAATTGGACAAAGAACCGCTGGAATGGGCACCGAGTGTAATTAGAAGTCTTAGCATCATCACCTTCATTACTTCCCTCTGCTGGGTGCTTTTTCAGGCAACAACATCGAGACAGAAACATCACTTCTTGTGGTACAGAATTTTACATGCAATTCGAAATGACTGTGTTTGGCACATCTCACGTTATTAGGAAGGTAATTTTTGCACACGCATACACATATAAACTATGAAGCAGTAATTTTATTTGCAAGATTTAAAATTTGTTACTAAAATAATAATAATTGATGACATTCTCTCAGACCTAACAAACCATGAATAGGAGTGGGGAGTGGAGATAAAACTTTGCACATTCCCCACAATTCAAAGAAGAGTAGACAGCTTCTAGCTCTTACCCCATGTAAACCACTGGAAACAATTATAATGACTATTACGTATCGTATTTCAATGTGGTAGAGTGGTTGATAAAAACATGAGCGTAGCAACACTGTATATGCTATTCAAATCAACATTGTTTAGTTTGGATGCAACTTTTATCTTGTAATTTAGTTCCAAGGTCAATATCTAATAGGAACCATCAAGAAAAGTTTTTTTAAAATTATTTTTAAAGTAAAGTTACGAAAATTGCATTTTACAGATTCATATGTAAATTTCTGGTTTCATCATTACAATATTGTTATTACGTATTTGAAGGAAAATTTATTATCCTAACATTCCTCAATTTGAGTGTAGTTTTCTTTGTTCATCTTCATATTTTTTCAGTTGACACTCAAAAATATAAACTTACTCATAAGAAAGACGCTGTTTAATTCTTTATGAAAATCGAATGCAAAACATCAAAGCTCCAAACCTATTCGATGAATCGCAAATTCTTAAGCTTTAATTGTCATTTTTAACAGACACTAATAATTTCTACTCATAGCTGGCAGAATTGAGTATTCCAAAGTTCAAAAATTATTGTGTTGAATGTACGTCACGACATGGTGGGGGGGGGAGGTTTTTTGTTTTGTTGTTTCCCTCCCTGATTCGACTTGGGTTCCCTCCTGCTGGCGGCCGAACAATGATCGAGCTGGCAGTCCGCAGGTAGAAGAAACAAGGCAAGAAGAAGAAAAGAAAGTAGTAACAACACGCGTAAGAGGAAGACGGAAAGAAGCATGTAGAAAGGACGGCCCTCTTGAACAAAACCACTTATTACTGGCTTTGACATCTTCCTCAGCTAAATTACAAGGTAGACGGTTTCCTTGTAAAATGGTTCCAAGCTAAGTTTTCGAGTGTCCAAAATCTCACGTTTACTGGGAACGCAACGAATAGAAAGTGTGGAATAAAACACATTTTTGTAAGCCTAGGTGCTGGATGGTTGGGTCTCATATTTACACTTGCCAACAAAATGACGCTGGACGGACTATAGATTTGGCGAGTCGCACATTAAAAGGGGCAGAATATTGTTTATTTCACACATAAATTTTTACACGTTTTTTCATACGAGCTAATTAAAGATAAGGTTTATACTAAGCTTGTGCGATAAATATCAATATTAGATTATTACGTTGGTAGTACAGTGTTAAAAGTAATTGGGAATATACGTATCTTCAGAAAACTGGAATACTTTAAGTAAAGATGTTATACATTACAGATAATGCTTAAAGTACAGAGAACATGAGAATCAAAACAATTTAAAATGGTTCATAATTAACACTTTAAAGACGGAGTTCGTCTAAATAATTTTGAAATAGTTGGTCCGTACTACAAAGAAATCATCACATTTCACCACTATAAAGCTTGCATGAAGTAGGAATTATTTTAGACCGACACGAACCAAAATGAAACTCGCAAGACAAAGTTGAGCACAGTTTTCCCAAACACGAAATATGGTCGAAATCCGTAACTTTTACAAAATAAAAGTGAACTAGATATATGAGTGTCTCGTTAATACCGATTTTGTACAACTTGGACCAAATTTTAAAATTCGGATATTTTTCATTTTTTGTATAATTGTCTTATAGTACCGGGGTCTCAGCTCAGCTTCCAGAATTAAGGGCAAATGCACACATTTCCAGCGTTACCTCGTATAAGACTGTCTAATGAACAGTTCTGGCAACTTCACCGAGACATAAACAAGAAGAAATCGGGGCGATGTCTGGCCGTTACTGACCATCATTCATTCATAGAAGGAGCTGCTTCCAGCGTCTGCCACTAACAAGATGTATCTCCCGCTTCTGAGAAGTTCTCTCAGGCATTCCACAGCCGTGCTTTTGTTGTCCGACTGTCCTTCGAACTGAACGCGTAGATCTGTCTTAACCTTATATGTCAACGCTACTACTCCGGCCTCTAACTGAGGAAATTTCAATTCCTGTGGACTTCCCAAGTTTCCAATAAAGTT